TGAACTGTTCTCAGAATAAGAAAGGAAGATATCCTTTTGTTCAAGTTTGAAGGTGGATGGATGTTGCCTTATCGCGTCGACCTGTAAAGGTTGTCAACGTTCTTGCAATGTGTGGTGAAGACTGTTGAGCTTGAACTGTATAGATTTCGTCCTTTTGGTGTAGTACGTTGGTGGAAATGACCTTGAGATTGAGACTACATAAAAAAGTGAACTAAATAAACCAGTTAGCTGAGTTTGAGGCGTCGTCCTGATTATTTTCTGTCCCTTCTAAGTTTTCATGTTCTTTCTCTACCCCACCCTCAGGTTAATTTAACGTGGTTAAGTTATAACGCTTACAACTCAAATTGAACTGAAAACAGCATAACCAAGTTGTGCAGGACGAAAAGAGCTGAAACAAAGAAGGCCGCTCGCTCGGAAGAAATACCTGACTTCCATTGCTCCATAGAGATGAATACGTGTGCTGTGTTTTCTTTTGAAAACAAGTGAGGGCGACCGTCCCTTAGCACACTTTTGGAGTCGTGTTCTGTTTGGACAGCCCTTTATCTATCGGAGTTGGCGTACTCTGGTTTCGCCAACTATGCATTTGTTAAGTTACGATCGGATCTTAGGAAGCAGGATTTTCGAGGGTCCAGGTACATATGGTAACAACTGTTTTATAGGATTGTATCTACAAAAACATTTAAAATTACCGCTGTCCACTTTAGTACGCGTTTAGAAAGTCAACAGTTTTCGACACTTTGATGCAGGTATAAAATGCATGCTTGATGTTTCGTAAAATATGCTTGTGCTAGGTGAAGATTGTATTATTGTAACCAGGATTTTTGAGGCTCCAGGTAGCAACCGTTTTCTAAACATTCACCAGAAAAAAAAAAGAAAAAAGATTATTATTGTCAAATATAACACGCGTTGAGAAAGTCAACAGTTTTCTACACTTTGACGCAGGTATACAATGCGCGATTGCGGATCAGAGGCCTGAAAAAAAGACGAAACTAAAAAAAGGAACAAAAAAACACGAGAATTTAAATGGTAAATTTGCACAATAAAGTAGTATAAAATATAACATGCAGAATACGTTAAAAATACGTCACGTGAGTCACAAAAATCATAATTTGTTAATAACATTTGTGATACTCCTCCTGATACGTTCAATTATTATTTTAGTTCAATCAACATCAACCCAGGTCGCAAAAAAATATAGGAGTGACTATATTGTTATCCAGCCGTTCTCAATATACCTGTTCAGTCTGACAAAGAGTTCTGGGCCTTTCGGAAAGCATAAATTAACTGAGCACCGCCAAACGGTAAAACTTCACCAGATCACTTTACCGGTGAAACTAGGATGTGATATTTTCCACTTAATATGTCACCTGTACAGTAAGTACTCTCTATGGCAGCTGGCCATGGAGATGTAAAGAGATAACGTTTGGGGTAGTTTGCCTGCTTAGTTATTTATTTTTATGCCTGTTGAGTAAAATCATATTTACATTGTTCGTGTTCACCATATCACTTGTCACAGTTACACTTGGCGTCACAAGGCGCTGTGACGTTACGTCATAACGCAGTGTCACAAAATCTGACACTGCGTCGCTTCTGGACCAATTCAGCTTTTCCTGCTAGATCTAGGGGAAACATTTCCCGCTACCTTTAGCTATCGGGCTGCGATGGACGGATGCACATCATGTCACAGTTTTGTGACCCCATAAACGCTATCGCATTTAAAAACTTCGAAATAAATGCGTGAACATTATGAGCTATGAAAGCTACCTCTATTGTAATAAACCTACACACTCTATTTAGTAGTACGGCTCATAGATCACCTTAACTTTAAGTTCTGTGAATGGCTTTACCAATATGGCACTATCTGTGCGATGGTGAGTTATTGTGAAAATTTAATGCCGCTAACCCGGTTAAAAAAATCTTGAAACTTATGACAAAAAAATTATCTTCTCGAAAAGAGTTCCCAGACTTTTATATATAAAAATACTTTCTATTGTTCACTAAAAACACTTGCACAATTTATCAGCCATAAAAAAAAAAACACTTTATGATCGACTTTGTTTTTGCAAATCTTGGAACAGGATATATGATCAGGACTGCCACAGTCGCGCCTCGTTAACCCCGTTAATAGAGATACACCACTGTATGTACAGCATTTTCTGGACGAGCTGGGTAGATATACGACTTTTTGTCTTGTTAATCGGAACAGCCCAATGTATGGACGAACAGTGTGGAAGAACAGTGAAATAATTTCGAAGATCAAAACGAAAATGCTGAAGCTTCTGTGACTGGAAGTTTGGCAAAAATTTCAAACCTAAAATACAGCTCGGCAAGAGAACTACTTCTAATTTTACCTAGATTCGAATATTACTTCAAAAGCGCTTTAACACTCCACAAATTTGTATATTATACCTATAGCAAATGAAAACCAATCTGATAAAAAATGCTCCAGCAAAAAAAGAAAAAAAAACTGTGAAGAGTTTTAATAAGCACAAAGATACCTTTAGTTTACACACTTCATAAATAGGATATTTAAAACGTACGATATATTCGTAAAATTACTCTTGAAGGATATTACAATTTAAACAAATACCCTATGAGGCTCTTGGTTCTATCACAAAATAAGAAAAAGAAAAAAAAATTAAAAACGCAATTCGTGAGCTCTTTTGATAAAACAAAAATAACAAAACACTATTTTTTTTAATTTTAATTATTATTCTTTTTGTTGCAGCGCCTAGGTTCTTGTGTGGTTGTGCTGACCTCATCGCAAAATGCTTACTAGATGGATAGTTCGTTTTTTATAAAACTTACAGCAATAGGATATCGATTGCATACTCTAAACTAGGGTTGCGCAGAAATACCCTGAGAGGCATCTGGAAGCACAATTACAAGTGTTCATTGCAATGACCGCTGAAATGCCGTTAGAAAAATACATTTGTGAAAATTATCGTGATGGTATCAGAAATACATGTCAGAAATCTATGTTAGAGTTTTCAAACCCTGCCTTCAAGGGTGAGGTGAGGTGGATTGCAAACTACGTTCCACGCCTCAAAAATGTAATCAAATCAAAGACTCCGCAGTCAAAAACAGTCTTAAGTTTTAGCGCCTACACACTTGATGCCCCTACGCAGAACTTGCGAAACGCGAGCGCTGGCGCCTTCAGAGAAACTTTTCGACGACCTTCTTTCGCATGTTTTAACCTCCGGGACCAATAAAAGTTTTACTTGTACCCAGCTGAACATCGCTAGTTACCACTTTTCTCTTTACGAACTGGCACGGTTGTGTGGCAGCAACACGCGACCAAAAGCCACGACGTCAAAGAAGGTACAGCCACGCATTTCTTGGCCAGCTACGGTATTCTCAACCCCTAGCCGCAGCAGCATGACGCTATAAAACTTAGACAGGCGAGAGTGCAGGTGAGATGGTTTAAGACTGACATAGTAACCCTGGAGTACGGTGAAAAGGACGGACACAATATACGAAACTGCAAACCACAGCTAAAGGTTTATTAAGCCAAGATATCCTCAAATCTGCCCACAACCTAGCAGAAGTACACAACGAAAGTAAATACACAAGACGCGTCTTGGCTTTAAAATAATTTAGCTTTTTTTTTAGTTGTTCTTATTGTGTTCGTCCTTTTTTTCTTGTGTTCCAGGCTAATTACGTCGTGCTACGAACGATTAATAGTTATAACGATAAATTGTTGAAATATGAACGGGGTTCTCATTATGATGTTTTGAACGTTGGTTGAAAGAAGTTTCACTAGAGTTGTCAATGTGGGAACAATAACGCGTTCCTCTATAGACCGACGATTTCGCGAAGAGACCCAAGCTGAAAAGGGTATTTCTTGCTCCCGACCACTAGTCGAGCTCTAGAAGTATAGACAACGTGTAAGTTGCGTCGACCCAAGCGTGTTCGTGTGCCAAAGAACGACGAAAGCCTCGGAAACAACGATATTTCAAGTACGAATTGGCAAATGCACAACACCCGATTGAGGATCATTGAAACTATGGCGTGGGGCTGCTTGAAAAGCAATAAAGATAAACATTACTGCGCTGAACTCGGTAACCACAAAGGAGTGGATGTAAGAGGTTTAGGGGTCCCAACAACGTCTCAGAGTTAAGTTTAAACATTAGCGCAATAAGCGAATATAACGGCAAAAAACGTGGAAAGCGAAATGGGAGTCCATGACCTCATTCAGCGCCAGTCAATTCGTTAGTATTGGCAAAGCGCAATTCTATGAAACCAAGTCCAATAAACAATTAAGAGCTCGTATCAAAGAATGTAATCACCACATTTCTCGCGTACATCATACCGGGGATAAATATCTATGGCGTCGAAAAACGACAGCGCGAATAACAATGTTTAGTGCTATGATTACTCAAGAAGTCTGTTATACTTTAGCAAATCATGGTGACTTATCACTCCTGAGCGCATAAAGCACGTTCAGTATTCTCGAAGCTTTCATGTCCCTCTTTTAAATTAAGAGTTCACTGAAACCACTGCACTCCCTGTACGCGAATTGCGGAGAGGCATTTGGATGGTTCCAGGAGACATGGGTGTCTTCCGACGCTAAGCTATCGGCTTCAACGCGCTGTTCTGGCATCTCGGGTCGCGCGCGATTGGCCACGTTCACCAAGAAGGGACTTACTGATGGCAGCTCTGCAAGGCACCATAATCCGTCGCAGCACAGTTGGAATGCCGATCACGGCTAATACATCCAGGGACACTAATCGCCACCATCGGTCAACACAGCACCAAAAAAAAAGAAGAAAAAAAAAACTCCGCGTAGCACCTGTGGCATTCCGAGATCTCACGAAGGCCACTCGATGTTTCACAGCCGTAGGAATAAAGAAAACCAAAGAGAAACAACGGTGGAATCGCATCACTCGAGAGGGGCATCAGCAGCCATCGGCCCACCATCCACCGAGCGCCGATGGCCGCCCCCCACGGGGACTCGCACCAGTGGCCCACCCCCAGGCGCCGAGGGCACCAAAGCTGACCTGGCATGCCGAAGCTGATGACCTTCTCGGCGGCCACGTGGTAGTCGTCCTCTTCGTCGTACTGCTCTCCGGGCACGAAGGGGGCGTCGGCTTGCATCAGGCCGGCGTCGTAGCGGTCCAGGAGCCGATGTAGGGGCGGGATGCCCGGCAGGACGCTCCGCGTTACGTTGGGCGCCCGCTGCATGCCCAGCTTGCTCAGGATCTGGGCCTTGATGGCCTGGAGCCGGGCCAAGCGAGATTCGCCCTGGGACGCGCACCGCGTGCAATTGCCGCCGCTCGGGGACGACTCCTCGTCGGCTGGGGTCGTCGACGACGTCGTCGCGTAGCAGCACGCGACCGCCAGCACCGCCAGCGCCGTCGCACACCGCACCGAGGAGAGCATGGCGCACCGAGGAAGGTGGGCTTCGCGCGCGCGGCCTTAAATAGCGCGAGACTCCGCCTCCGATACGTTTGGTGGCCTATCGCGCTGGTGCGCGCGGCCGCCGATCCGGCCCACGGAGGGTTCTCTGCGGGCTCCCGCGCCGTAATGACAGGACCGCCGCGCGCGATGCCGGTGGCCGCGAGGCACGCGGGCGGGCCCGGCAGTCCGGCCGATACAATGGGAGGCCGAGGAGCGCGGTTGCCGGAACTAAGCTGCTCAACTAGGCTTCTAGCGTTAAAAGGACATCGGCTGGGTCACCTCCAAGGAAAAGAACAACCGCGACGGCTTCAAGCGCCAGCGGTTAGCCCTACTGCCCGAGCATTCGTGCCGCCGAGCTCACACTGAGTCTTCACGGTAGTAGATCTAAAGGCGACAGGAAGCATAGCAGGACCGAGGACAATTTGTAGCTTCTTCCGTCTGGACACTTCAATTTCTTGTGTGGTCTGGAGAGCACGAAAGAGCGTCTTCCGACTCTAGTTCTTAGCTTAAAGGGTCAACAGGAAAATAACAAAGACCCCATTGGATGTTGTTGGTGTAGAATAGCGGGGCAAGCCCCTCAAAACTTCTGCTCGCCGTGATTGGTAGTTTCCTACTTTCCACTCGTCTCCTTTCCAGCGTTCGCTCCGCTGAAGTGGAGGGGTGGAGGGATATGAGGGAGACGCTTGTCCTGCTATTCTTAGCCTGCAACAGATTACACCTTCCTTGTTGCCCATAGAAGTAAAGTACAACGCGGACTACCTTTCCGGTTAATAAAGCAGGAGAAAGTTTGGTGCGTGGTAGCGACCCGCCAAACTGAAACATTAGGCCCAGATAAATTCCCACCCGAGACACACCCTTGAACTACTCTGCCTTTTCTTAGTCTAGGTCTTTTCTGGAGACTTATGGGGCTGGGGGTTCACCGCCGTCGTTTGTTAGCTGCCGCAGAGTTAGGGTACTTCCAACATCTATAAGCACGCAGATAAACTCATGCACGTAGAAAGATATCGCTCTATCACTCTCTGCGACGTAAACTATGACACGTATGTTTTCTAAAGTTCCGACAAAAGGGCTTTTTTATGTTTTTTTCTTACTGGTGTCGTTTCAAAATATATAGAAATTATTGAACAAAGAAAACAATTCTGGGGGTGCACGTGCCGTACCAACGAAGGATATCTGGCTCGCCTCAGCGGAGAAATAATTAAGGCCACCTGGTGAGCTTTGAACTTTCAATAATTAAAGGGACACTGACAGGGTATTTATGCTCGCCGAGGTTTTTAGTTGTACGTGACATATGAGAGCTCAACTACCCCGAACACAATTTGCGGCTCGAAATTCGGTTTCTTTCCGCCCGAAAACCGCCGATCAAGAACTGGCCGGTTCGAGTCTCGCTCACTCTCTTTTTCGCGGTCACGGGCCGTTTTCTAAGGTATCGATGCGACCACCAAATTTAATCAAAGTCGTGGGTCACTGAAGGCACACACTCAATATTAAAAATAGAAAAAAATATGAAACCCATTTTTTATGGCTTCTAAAAAGCTGTAAATACGTTGATTGAAAAAAAAAGTTCCACAGACAACCGGAAGCATTCTGTGCGTTCGTCGTTTCGCGTATCGTGGGACTCGCGGGGACGGCGGGGACGGCGATGGCAGCGGACGACGGGCGTGGGACCTCTATTTGAGAACTATCGTTCGCGGTACCGGCGAATTCTGTCTACCGTTAAAAGAGAAATTTGGGACTGATCAAAAGAATTGGTATTCATCCCGTACGACACGCCCGGCCACCAAGCCGATTTGCACGAAGACGTCGCCGAGCCGTCGCTCCCTTCTCGTGGCTGAAGACAACGCTCGCCCAAACGTCAAGCACAACGTGTCTACTTCGAGTTGAATATGCACGCGTACGATTTCTTTACTAGGTGCGAATGTCCCCAAAGCGTGGTGCTTCCCGACTTCGACCCGGGAGTGCTTTTGTTAGAGAAAAATCGACAGCAAACTTTCCAACTTACAGTTTACGGCTGAATTATTACTAAGGAAAGAGATCCACCAGAAACGAGATGCCCCAGTAGCTCAGTAGGAAAGACATCCGCTCCACACGCGGTAGGACCGGGTTCGATCCGCCGTGAATTTTTTTTTTTTCAATCATTTTTTGATGTTTACATATCTTTTTCTTTTTTTACAATCATCACTGAAGAAACGAACAAAAAAATAACAAACAAATGTTGTGGACGATACTTCGCTGAATTAAACGGTATGGGATTTTCGTTTTGACACCTGCGAACTCAATGTAATCACTTTCCACAAAATGCAAGAAGCATATAAATCAGGTAGCGTCCGCTTTCCGAGGTGCCCGTAAATGTTCTACAGGAATTGCAGCCAGCCATTGGTCCCGATCCCGTTGATCTTTCGGAAACTCTGTCGCACAATGCCACTTTTTTTCGGATGCAGGACATGTGAGCCAGCTCTTCACGCAACATCTTGGGTTTATTCTTTTCGGAGCCGATCATGGAAATTCACCACGGGCACTCACTACTCATCTCCAACTCCTCAATGTACAAAACAACTCATCTTGGAGTACAGAACAACGAGCGGAACAAACATAACTGCAAAAGAATCGCACGGCAAGCAGTTCCCGCACGCGGCATCGCACGCCGCATGTCGTGTCGTCTGCTACCGGAGAGGAGAAAAAAAAAAAAAAAAAAAAACCGCACGGTCGGGTGTAGCCACGTGACTTCCGCCAGTCACTCTCTTCTCTCCACTTCTCCGACCTCCGTCGGGTTTCGGTTTCGGTTTCGAGCAGTTGCGTCTTTTGGCTTTATTAAATAAATACGCTACTCTGTTGCAAAATATTAATTGGGTAGTCCTCCGACACCATAATGAAGCGCCTGGCAAAAAATAAAAAACATTTTTTGGGGGGTGTCAGTGTCCCTTTAAGGGCAGTGCTCAGATAAACTACACGCCACGCGTATAGTCATTAAGAGCTGTACTCGTTAAGCCGTTAAAGTCACCATGATTAAAGTCTAACTTGGGGAAGACGGCTTTGATAACGTGTATTTTGTTTATCGCCATTTTTTGTCACGTAAGCTCATACGTTTAAAGAAAAAAAAAAGAAAGAAAAAAAAAAGCTACAAAAAGAAAGGAGTTACGAGGGTTGCTCGAAACATAGTGCCTCAAAATTTGTTTCTCATCCAAAAATAAAGATAGTGACATAGAATTGTAAAGATTTAAACATTTATGTTTCCTTTATGCGTGTGTATAATTACATTGTCGTCGCACGGGGGACGCTGCTGTAGTAGTCCGTAGCCACTGTGGGACAGGGGTCACAAACAACGAACTGTAACAACATTCTTTGAACCGGGAAAATAAACAATGAAAACAAATTCCCAACCGTTTGTGTGCTGTGAATATAAAAGTAATGCAATCGATAGGAGCAGATTCGAACGCTGGGTTTAGTGTATACGAAGGCCACAGAAAGTAGGAAAATGGATCTGCATGATCGGCCGTGGTCGTCACGTCCTCCCACTGGCTGACGTGTTGCCGCGCGGCCATGTTATTATTGGTGCGAATAGACACATCACAAGCCGGCAGTTGATCTCACAGGTTTCAGTCAGAAAAGTTAGTGCTTTGCCAAATACCGACGTTACTGGTGTGTGTGCGGCCCACTAGGTATCAAGGGGACATCTTGTCCCAGCCCGACTTCGCCCACATGCGCTCACACAAGTCTCAAATCGCCCCAAAAAATCGTAAAGATTTGTTAAACTCCACTTCCTCATCCCATTCATAACCTTGCTTTGGGGCTGTGGTAATCCTTCACATTGGACCACTCATGAATGCACTGCGACCAAAGCGCAATTTATGGAGTGAGGGCATGGCGTCAAAGCAGGAAACCACGTGTACAGGGAAGGCATGCATGTCCTTGTTTCACTCTGGTGAAAAACCGCACAACTGACGGGAGATTATGACCCAATAGCATATGTACAAGAAACGAGCTGTGATGCTGCATGTGAATTTCATACATTTTGAATGAGCAGTTTCCGAGAAATAACATCTGGCACATTACTTTCAAAGCAAGCCCTTGTTTACAAACCGTAACTTTGCCACCCGCCATGCACTTTATATCTTTTTTTGTTTACTCGCTACCTTCCCTTGCTTATGTGTACTTTCTATCCCCACAGTGGGCGGTTATCACTTCTATTCTGCGGAAGTGAAACTTTTTGCGTATACGCCAACGACACCGCCATTTACTGGGCTGATAAGACAAGTATCGGTAATGTCCGACTTACTCGAGCGTTTGGAGCAGCGTCGAAAGCACTCGTTAATAATAATAATAATAATAAAAATGTGTTGCCTCCTGGTGCGGCTATGGGACCACAACACACGCACAGCATGCTGGAATTTTGTGGACTTGTGTTGTTCCCCAGTAGTTAGGAATTCCCCTGAACTCTATTCGCAACAGTGGTCATTACAGGTTTGGGCGCGTGGAAGAGACCGAACCTTATACATATATTAATGAAATATAAAGCTCAGTAGTCAGCCTTCGGACGCGCGAAAGCCTGTACGGTTAATTGCAGCGATCGGGATAGTGTTGTCATTGGGAAACGAGAACGGTCAACAGCAAGGCATTAAGTGGACTAGTTTGAACATAACTAGAAAAAAGTAACACAGCGCTAAAATAGATAAAGAACACAAGGCACAAGGCGCTGACTTTCAACTGAACGCTTTACGCGCTTTTCGGAAATAAAACATTCAATTGACAGTCAGCCCCTTGTGTGCGTACTCTGTTCCTTTTGTCATCCGTATTTGTTAGCGTTGTTCTACCTTTTTAATAGTGGTCGACAAAAATGCTGACCTTCAACGGCCATCAAAGTCGAATTTTATAAAAGCTGTATCGCATATGTACAAAATGCATTTGACCAGTCGGTAAATTCCCAAACTGGTATGCCGTCTTAACCCCGATTTCTTCATCTTCCTCATTTAAAAAAAAAGGAAAAAAAAGTTTTATTCAATACGA